TAGAGAATGGCGAAGAGAAAGAGAAAGAGAACACATTTTTTTGTTGTTTTTTTTTGTTTGTTTTTTGGGTGAATTCATTCGAATTTTGTTTGGTAAAAGAAAAGATCAAGAATAAACGAGATAAAGTTATAACAAGTTCATTGCAATGAAAATGAGTTGCGATAAGCTAGTTGTATATAAATGAGGGAGTACATTAATTGAATTAAGTGATTTCGTTCAATATGTTACTAATTCATCACCTTTATAAATGTATTCCTTTACAATAATAACACTTTTTTTATTATACAACTGTTTTTCAAAAATGACAAAGGTGTTAAATTACCCAAAAATTAAAGTTAAATTCATAATAAATTTAATTTGAAAAAAGTTATTTCTCATCTTGATAATTGTTTTTAAATAAAAATGTTTCACCTCTGAAAAATGATATCAAAAGACTACTATAAACTTATAGAATTTGTTGGGATTATTTATTTTTAATATTCGCAGTATCGAAAACCTAAAAATCCATTTCAAAAATTTCCAAAACTACTTCATCCAATAATCGAGTAACTTCGCAAATCACTGAAAATTATCCTAGAAATTACTGATGGAATTATGCAGCTCAAGAAAGAGCATATTTTGCTTTCATTTCTTCTTGGTTTTTCTTAGCTCAATATTTCATCAGGAATCGTCTCCTTAAAAGACTTAAGTTGGCTTTCATTTCATAGTAGACTATGTGCAATATAACAGAAGAATTTTACAGAACGGTATCATTTTTTTCAGAACGGATCTATTATCCATCATATCGATCTAATCATTATTCCATAATAGAGTGTACATTTACGCGATTAACTGAATAACATAGTAAACAAAATCACTTGAATCAATTAATGTACTGATTCCTTTATATATGACTAGCATATCGCAACGAATTTTCATTGTGACGAAGTGTCGTGCGACGAAGTGTCGTGTGACGAAGTGTACTAGTGCCGATCAATATCGGTTTTTAGTGACACCCATCATGGAAAAACAGGATAATGGAGATAGATGTCTTTAAAGAGTCCTTGAATACCCAGCAATCAGTCGAGGGTCAAGTGAGTCGTGGCAACAAGCGTTACTTGTGGAATTATCAGATGGTCGTGAACGAAAAAAAATCAAAAGATAGGCTGTCCCCAAGTGGAAAATTTTGCACAGTTTGTTTTCTGGTACGGGTATGAGTGTGAATATGGGTGTCAAGATCGCCATCTATATAATGAATATAGATGGACGATCCTTCTTATTAATATATTGGACATATCCCGGTAATTGGGTGGTTAATTTTTCTCTCTGTTGTTGTATTTTTGTCGAGTTGACTGTGAGCTGTTTTTGTGAAAAACGATCTGAAAGGAGTGTTGAAGTATATAGGGTAGAAATTTGGACCCCCCCTCACAGGCAGAGACAGAGAATTTAATTAATTAGTTAGCTGATTAATTAATTAATTAATTAATTTCTCTGCCCCGGTCTGTGATGGTTTCTGAGGTCTCTGCCCCGGTCTGTGATGGTTTCTGAGGTCTCTGCCCCGGTCTGTTATGGTTACTGAAGTCTCTCTGTCACGATCTGTGATGACTTTTGAAGGCTCTGTAACTGTCTGTGATGGCTTCTTAAGTCTGTATAATGGTCTGCGATGGTCTGAAGAAACTTCATACACCATAATACAGATACAGGCCGTGACAGAGAAGTTCCACAGACCATCACAGACCGTGGTCGACGGATTCCAGAAAACGAGCTTTATCGTGTTTTACATTTTTAATCCCGCAGGGATTGCGCTAAAAGCTTTTCTTTCTTCCTATCTTTTTTTCATCTCTTTTTTGTAAAAGCTTAGGTCTTATTACTTTTTTGAAATAAAGTTATTGATCCATAAAGGAACCTAATAGTGGGTGCTGACATCCGGTTAATTATACACCCGCATCCAAGAAGATAGATATTTTCATCAATTACTTTTCGAAACAATGCTAGAATTATTTGAAATCAGCATGTTTCTCCTTGTTTACCAATCTGTATTCAGAATCTATTTAAATGTACTTGTTTCAGACGATCGCAGAAAAAACAACACATACCAATCAAAGGAGAATACACTTTTAAAAAAATGGTCCGATATTATTTTGTATGAATTCATCTACAGAAAAAAGCATTTTAATGGCGAAATCTTATAAATTGAAATCATACTATTGCTTTTTCTAAAAATGCATTGCTCGTTACACTTTGTTATTGTTAATATTCATCGTACTAATGAGTGCGTAATAAAGCGTCATATTCTTCTTTCTACCAATCGTTTTGCGATTGAGTTTCTGACAGGGTGTTGGTATGGCTACTAGAAAGGTAGACTTTTAGTTAATATCAAAAGAACTACTATTGATATGTTGATATGACTTAGAAAATAGCACAAATATCTTCTGTTATTACTCATACATCCATTCATCCTGAGAATATTCATCCGTTTTCATCGAAAGTTCATCCAAACAAGAAGTTTCAACATCATTTTCGAGTGGCTAAATCTCCGTTGAAGACTGATAAGGAAGAATTACCATTTCAATCGACTAATATTCTATCCATCAACAGCGTATTGATTAAACCAAAGGCGTTGAAGCAGAACAGTGAAAACAAATTGTCATCCAAGTCTATTAAATTTTGTACTAAATAATCATTAAATTTTATTTTTATTTCCAAAGACCAAATTTAGTTCATCCCGACGAAACAGCAGACAGCGATGGTGTTAGAAAGCGACGAATCATAGCCGGCTTCTGTGTTTTGACTGCCATGCTCATAATCGCCATGATACTTGGTATCACTCTTGGCACTCTATTAAACAATACGTCGGCGGCAACTACGACTAGTAAGTATATATCGTAGGCCAATCTAGGATTAGCCTAGGTCAATCGGGAATCTTAGTTTGGCCTCACTCTTTTCCAGACCGAACTAAGATTCCAGATTGACCAGTTAGACATGTGGTTTACACTAAGTGAGTGGTATAATAATAATATCTCCCATAGGCTTATCGCCCGTTGGGGCCGGCGCTAAAGCGTCCACAAGCAGCCACGTTATATCTTGTTTTCTATTTTATAGACGACGGTATATGCACCCCATTTGTCCAACGCTGCCCCCGTTAATGATTATGGGTTGGCGATCATCATAGGATCACGTGGCCGTGACATCTATGTTGAAGTTATTGTTTTGACTCTGCATACTGACTAATGATATAATCTATACGCTATCGGATGAGTCATCCGAAACAATTAGCCGTTAGTAACTTGTTCAGGGTTTTTCCATGGTTGGTGATACTGTAGTTTGAACACAGCATCTTGTGCATATGTGTCGAATAACATATCCATTCAACCATGGTGGCTATAAGTGAGTGGTATACGTTAGACTTATTCAAACATTGGAGAAAATAATGAGAACGAATCACGGATTACAAATAAGATGTACGGTGATACTTGAATAAAAGTAAAAAGCTTCTAATTTTTTAACAAATTATTGATGAAAGATAAGCAAAGAATTTATTGATGAGTTCCACTTTTGTATCACATAAATTCTTTTGTTTTAAGTAGATTCTTTTAAATGAGATATTGATGAGCACTACATTAAAATTATATTTTGAGGCGTTATCAATGTGTGTATTATTGAGGTAAATGACAGTATTAAATCACCCAGTGTCTTTGTAAAAAAATTAATTTTTTTGCTCGACATGTTATCATAAAAAGAATTACTTTCGTAAGAAATATGCAACAATAAAAAAATCTATTTTCTATTCATTATAATTATATATGGGTATGTTGATATTTACTATGCTCTGCTATTGACTTAATGAAGATCAGCTGTAATTGTAGTTACTAAATATTTTATCTTAGTTTGGCTTTGGCGAATCTTAGAATAGCCTGGAAAAAAATCTTAGATTGGACTATGCCAAACTTGGATTAACCTGACGATTTCGAGTCACTTTCAAGAGTGAACTGGGTCATTGTACATAGAATCCAAAATTCGCCTGGAAAAGTCAGGACACTATGATTTCAGACTGGCCTAGTCCAAACTCAAATTTTAGATTGGTCTGAATCTGATATTGGTCTATGACATATATATACACTATAATTTGGAGGGTCGTCGAAGTTAATTTTTTTATATAATATCAACAAGAATGCGTTAGAACATTCTGTTTTCTCTTATTTTTTCAAGCACAATCTGGAAAAAGTATATTATGCTAGAAATCTACACAAGGAAAGCTAGCAACGAAATCCAGCACTTCTTCACTGGGAAAACAATCCGCAGAATAATAAACGGAAAAAACGTTTTCGATAGGGTATTTAACAAAAAAGATGGCTTATGAAAGTGCAACGTATCATAAACCCTTTTCCCCGTACATGACGAAGATAATAAAACGGTTTTTAGGTTTCTGGTTTAGGAAAAGGGTTTATCAGATTTTTCAAAGGCGGAAAAAAGGTAGTATGTGACACGTTGCACTTTCATAAACCATTTTTTTAAAGTGCTGTTGATATTCGTTGTTACACGTGTGCTCGTTTACTAATTTGTTGTTCAGTATATAGAATTCGATTCTGTATACAATGGTCGTGTTTTTGAAAAGGATTTACTACGTAAAACAAAAAAGAATAATCATAGGGTCCGTAAACCTGCATCGAACCTAGGAACTTTAAGTCTACCCACCCGATAATTTATTACTTTGTATGGAATATTTTATGCTTATCTGTTCATGTTAGTTGACGTTTTGCATAGATTTAAATGAGCGATTGATTTTTGAAGGAGTAGTTTATGAGTTATTTCTCGCATGTGTGTTGGATTAGGAGTTGGGTCATAAGATTTCACTATGATGTTGATGATTGTTGAAGCAGAGTCAACATATCACCATTTGGTAAATGCATAGTTGCTCTATTTAACAGAGTCTATTGCAGCGTCACCAGACATTAAACTATCTGCTTGCAAGCACCACCATTCAGAGTAGAATCAAATTTTACCTTTAGAAAAACTAATTAAAATATCAATACAAGTATGCTAGAAGCTTGCTGCGAAATATACTTGTAAGGGGATTTAAAACTCACAATTTTGAGAGCAAAATTCCTATCCTTTTCCCAATTGACATCCGCAAAAGTAATATCATTGGACGAAGAATTGAATTGTGTATTCGATATTACAAAGCAGAAAAATATCAAGGATATAAAAGCAAATGCCAACAAGGAAAAATCGAGCCCTTTGGCAACTTTCCATACGTTTATATACTGTTTCATATCCATTTTTTTTATAAACTATACAATCATATTCATACCTTGATGAACCATTTATAACTTCATTAGCCACAACAAGTACAGCTACTACGACGAGTACCAGTACCAGCACAAGTGCAACTAGTACTACAACTTCAACAAGTACTAGCACAAGTGCAACTAGTACTACAACTTCAACAAGTACCAGCACAAGTGCAACTAGTACTACAACTTCAACAAGTACCAGCACAAGTGCAACTAGTACTACAACTTCAACAAATACAAGTACCAGTACAACTAGTACTACAGACACAACCAGTGCAACTGGCACTGCAAGCATGACTACAATAGCAAGCATAACAAGTTCTACCAGCACCACTGGAACAACCAGTACAACTGGCACTAGTAGCACGACTACAACAACAGGCACAACAAGTACTACAGATACAACTACTACAACTAGTTCTACAAGCACCACTGGAACAACCAGTACAACTGGCACTAGTAGCACGACTACAACAACAGGCACAACAAGTACTACAGATACAACTACTACAACNAACTAGTTCTACAAGTACAGCAAGTACTACTACAACAACCACAACTAGTTCTACAAGTACAGCAAGTACTACTACAACAACCACAACTAGTTCTACAAGTACAGCAAGTACTACTACAACAACCACAACTAGTTCTACAAGTAGTAGCAGTACAGCCACCACTACTAGTACGACTACAACAACAAGCTCAACAAGTACTGTAACTACAACCACTATAACTACTACAACAAGTGTTACAAGTATAACCAGTACAACTACCACTACAAAGACGACCACTACAACGAGTACTACACGTGAGTGAAATCTCGTTCGTTTGTTTCATAAATAAGTAAATATTTATTCAATACGATGCCATGTGTGATTGAGAATGATGCGATTGTGTGTGTGGGCTGGACGTCCAATCATGCTGACTTGCATCGATACTTGCACATCGATTCATAATCAGTAATAAAAGAAATTTCTTCGAGCATCCTGTACTCGAAAAGACGATTCACTGTTCATATGGCACTTTTCTCTGTAATATAGTGCATCATGGACAATCGTAATTCCTTTCCTGAATGTTAAGTAGGAAATAGTTCTGCTCCAATATTGAGAAAATTCTCTTTTACTGTGACTGTATCACCACGTATCTAACAATATGCATACAAGATTAGGCTACTGTATGATTCTGATTAGAAATACGTCGAGCGGATGACCAAGAGGAAAGATTTTATTGAGAAAAGTGACTGAATTCGAGATTAGCTAATATTCTTAGACTAATATCAGGCAGTCTATAACGTAAAAATTAAGCAATCACCAAACCCGCTCAGCATCATCAGTGTTGAGCATCGGAATCGGTAATAAGAACAACATCTCGACAAAATAAAATTATCGAGGACACAGCTGAAGTTTATAGTAAAGCATTCTACGGCTTTAATCAAATTACCTAGATAGTTTAAAATTGAAAACTATTAACGTCGAACTTTTCTTTTCCAAAGGAAAGTAAATATAGAGTGTCATTTGTAGTCAAAAACCGGAAAACTTAATTCATTGAGAAGGGGCTTGAAAAAATATATTAGGGGTAGGTCCGTGACGGGGACAATAATAGGTTGATTTCTTGCATATCTATTTCTGACCCTTTCAAGAAAATTTTCAAACCTTTCAAGTATTATTCTCAATAAATTGAAATGACTTTTAAGTATTTATAATCACTTGCTGTGACGAATTTTTAAATACATTCATGATTGTAAAAAATCAACATATTGTACGCAAGTGAATGTCTGACGACAAAAATAAAGCGAAAATTCAATCAAGAATTATCGATCTAGACAATTTTTCACGAAAAAGATTCTTTTTTTATCAAAATATCATCATTGAAGTATCAAGAAGAGTCTTCAACAGCAAAAGCAAGAACAACCTTGTGTTTAGTAAATTAACCAAGTAGTGATAAATTTTGACCAATTTTCTCCTAAAATTATTTTATGTTATCCATAGATGGGAAAGATCATTATATTCATCCAAACTTTAGGTCAGTCGATTAGTCTGATTTTTAGAATCATTTATGAATATGAACAGGAAATAAAATAGTCGATAGACTTACGGTTCCCGTAGTGATGTTTACGACTGCAATTGACAAACCACGTATGTTTATATCATAATAATCATCTATTCTAGGCACAACAGTGACAACAACGACGACTACAAGTCAGTATTTATTTCTTTTTGATAGTTACCCTTTGATTTTTTCGTATCATATAGCTACAACAACAATGGTCCCACTAAATCTTCTCGTTAATCCCGGTGCTGAATCATCTGGTCTAGCTGGTTGGACACAAATTGGTTCATCTGCCGTACTTCAAGATACGGGTGGTGTGGAATACTCTGGTTACAACCCACGCACCGGCAGTGCCTGCTTTGCAGGTGGTTTAGGATCGGGTGGATCTCCATCAAGTCTGTTGCAGAATGTGAATCTGCTTAATGGAATTCAAAGCTTTTCGACAGCACAGCTTGATGCCGGAGCATTACATGCTAAAATATCATTTTATTACCAAACTTACTACAGTTGGCTGTATCCATACGATGACGCTGAAGTAACAATCACATTTCTTTCGGCTACAAATGCAGTATTGGGTACACAAGATACAGGGTATCAAACTTGTACATCCAGTAATCCAGGTTGGTGTTACTACAGTAATCTTTATAGCCTTCCTGTAGGTACACGAAGTATTAACTACAAGATGATATTTACTCGCAACTCTGGTACCAAAATTGCTGCATACATAGATGACAACTCGTTGACACTCGTTTGAACTTCTGTTTCTAAGACAGAAAGACAACTAACCACATTACTAAAATAAATCATTGACCTGTGCGTGTGCGTGTGTGAAAACTATTACCCATATTATGATATATAAAACGGTTTCTTTCTATCTAATTTTTATTTCTAATAGTTGTATCGGTGAGAAAAATGTATATGCTAGGCGAAATTCAAACGTTGTGTCATTAATGTTATGTGAAGATCATTTGTGACGAATTTTTTGAAATTGATGTGTCATTGGGGCGTGTTGTTAATGCAGAAAGTTATTTCTCAATTAAACGAGTGATATTATATAGCGGGCCGTTTTTGATCTGAACTTCTGAATTTCGCGCAAAATATTAATTTATTTCACCAATAGAATAGTTGTCCAACCATCCTCTTAAGAAGGTATGAATGCATCATAAAAAAAGCAAACTAAAAAATGGGCTGATCGAAAAATGAGTAATTTCCCTAGTCGAACTTCTTTTGGTCTGCGCAGGAGATACTTGACAATCTTGATCAAGAAAATCATGCGCTATGGAGCAAATTCGAGGCAAGTCTTGAGGTATTATTTTGAGTTCTAGTGCTTGACTTTCTTGGTCTATTGCTTAACATTCTGATTACTGTACTTGAGATTTTGGACAAGCGCATGGGTTGTCCTTGAATAAATTTGTGTAGTACAACAAAAATTTATTCAGTTATAGATATCACTCGACATTTACTGATTTACTTATATTGTACGTAACAAGTTCTCACGAATGAATCGATAGATAGTATCTGGTGAGAAAACCAGGGTATTTATACGTGTTGAATCTAAGCTAAATACTATAGAACTCGACTACAACTTACGAAAAAATAATATTCTATCTGAGTGAAAATCTTTGGTCTAGAAAATGTTTTGTCACAGTTGACGAAAGGAATAGCAGTCTCCTGAGGCTCCCAAGGGCACTTCTGTTCTAGTCTCTAACATTGCGATTTTTACAAAGTCATAGAGATCTTCATCAACGTTTATCGACAGCTTTCAAAATTCGTCGAAAACCATTAACTTGTCGAAGAGTAATATAACACTACCACAAATCAATACTTTTCGAAGAACTTAGAGGTCTGCATATGAAGTAGGATATTGCTAGCTATGGTACTGTAAAACTAGTAATATTATTGACTAGAACCGAGATATCGTGTGAGGGAGCTGCGAAACAAGCTAATTCCTTTCTCAAAATATAGGGGAAAGTTCTTCTCGACGAAAGGTCCTCATTTGGGTTGAATATCATGCTTATTTATATTTCAGTTGGTGTTCACACTCTTTAGTTTGAATTCAGTATATGCCTATATCCTGATTGTGTCACAACTCAAAGAATACCTAATTCGTGATGAATGATGAAAACGAAAAATTATGAATGTCTAAAACTAGTTTTTCATCATTTTTAGACAATATTTTATGTACTTCTATGTTCAAGAACGTTCCAGTTGCTAATTAGCTTGCGATTTAAGTATTTGTTTAAATTTTTAGAATCCCTAGAAATAAATCTGAACCACTCAGTTTATTTCAAATTCTGCACATTGATAGGGTTTCACCAAATCGTTGTAGTTGATTAGTTCAATGATGTTTCTTGATACAACCCTCAAATGTCAATACATGTTTATCTTAAAACAAGCGCATAATCATGCAAGCATCCAAGCTCTTGTCTATGGAAAGAACGTCATGCGCCATGAACCAAACTTGACGTCTGTGCAGGTCCAGCGCAGAAGAAAAAAAGTTCAACTAGGGTTGAAACTGCGCCATAGTAGCAGTTGAACAGATCACTGTACATATCTCTGCCATAAGAAACATTCAGACAAGGAACTTGTTTTTTCTTCTTAGATTAACCCAGGTAGGGTAATTCCAGATTCTGATCCTGTTGGATCCGACGATTTCCAAGAGTCTGATCCGACAGTCGGAATATATAGGAAACGACAAGATCCAGCAGGTTTTTTTTATATTTGAGTTATCAATCTCAGTATTGCTCTTAGGATCAGTCCTGGAGTCGAGAGATTTTTATTTCTCAAATTATAAATCACAAATTGGTATAATGCTAAAAGTGTTATTGTTTTCTTCACCGCTTGCGGTTCATTTGCTTTTATTCATTTAGAACATCTGTTCATTTTCACAAAAAAACAAAATAACACAGAAAGTCAAATACAAAATATAAATGTAAATCATTGAAAGAGAACTTTTCACATAAAAAAATAGCAACTTACAATGCAAAAGACAAATGCATAATTGCCACATATGTATATTCAATGAAGCGCAATGAAGAGAATAAATTATGATTTGGAGATGATGATTGTGATGAGATTTTGTTGATTGTCTCTTGCACTCATCGGATGAAAACTCAGCTAATTTCGGTCGAACCAATTTGTTGTAAAAATCGTCATAGTAATGTTCAACAATAAAATATTTATCATGCATAGCTTCTAAAAAAATCAGATTTGATAAAATGAAAATCTTGAGAAATTTTTATAATTAAGATATGCAAGTAACAAAAAAAAACAATAAATATTTCACATAATCGGATCTCATTTAAAAATTCTAGTAGTAACAGCGATCTATCATTTCCCTATTTCGAGGTTTTTTGAAAACAAAAACAAGTTAGTTTTCAAAATCAATTTCATAAATACTCTTAACTATGTCATTTTGAACTTGTTAATTGTTCAGTCTGCGAATTCTGAATGTCAGAAAGAAACTAATTGTGCTGTATTGTGATGTAATAAAGAAGGACAAATTGTTAGGGCTTCTCGAGTTTAGTTTCAGGATTTTAAAGAAACGAAATGAAAAATACGTACAATGAGAATTTTCAAATCTGACGATGCTTAATGGTTATTGAAAATATTGAGTATCACAGAAGACAAAATTGAAACCAATAATTATTCCCGCGCAAAAAGACAACGAAGTACTTGTCCAGCATAATCACTGATATTTTTCCCTCGAATATGAAGCAAATAAATGTTATCATGCATCTAAACAGTATTACAAGTATATAAAACAGTAAATAGAGATAGAAACGGATGACATAATCGCGCTCTTGATTATTGGCTAGTTCATGAACAGCTGAAAGTTCAATGTAAACAAAAGACAAATATATAAAATAATTGATCAGAAGTATTTGATAAAATTATTCTATCAATACTATGTTAACGGTCAATTTGTTTTTGATAATTCGCTAAATTTCTTTTCGTTTTCTCGTTGAACTGAATAGAGTATTTATATGTTGAATAATATTAGACGCTACAAAAGAACACTTAGCATCAATTTTTCTATAATAAAACTCACATTTTCAAACTTGAGGAAGTTGCTTATTATTTTCGTCATCGTTCAAAATATCATTAGGTAACACTAAATAGAGATAATATTCTTTTCATGAATATTAAAACCAATAGATTATTAATGATCGTCAAATCGATGAGAATTGTGAAAAGTTAGGAATGCGTTTGATAATGCATCACTTCAGATTCTCATTAGAAATAAGCTTTGAAAACATACCTTGAATTTCTTTTTCGAAATCATTGCGTTTTGTTCATTAAGGTAATGTGGATAAATGACTATTGATTGTTATACTTGATTCAACTAAAGTATGTTTTCTTTGTGGTGCAAATAGTTGTGATGCTAAAGAGAGAGATAAACATTGACTGAAGCAATTGAGAGTTGTCAAAAATTAATAAGAACACTTTCATTTTTAATCAACTACGCCAATTTTTTCTTATTAACTTTCAGATGATGAAAATGAATAGAATTTCTCTCATGCTAGATTGTTTGTGTAATTCATTACTATTGTTTTAATACGTTTTCTTTTTCATCCAATATAAACCAAAAAAAAATGCCATAACTATACACCATTTACCGTCACTACAAAACACCAAAAAATGTTAAGAATGCATCCACTTTTGTAAACTGATTTTCTTTTTAAACATGCAAAAAATATTTATTTACTTGAAACGCAAGCAAGAATTTCTGTTGGTTCTTCATCATATTCATTTATATGCACATCTTCCTCAACATTAGAATCATATTGTGAATCAAGGCTTAACATGATTATTCTTCGAGTTTGGCAAAAAAGTTGTGCATGCGACCTTTCAACTTATGAATTTCTTCTTTCTTTACTCACGTGTCGACTCTTCACGTGTACCTAGAGAAAAAAACAAAATAAATCTCTATCGATTTAGATATCGATCATAAATTTCAAATTTATAAAAAAAAAATTTTTAAATTGATGCTATCTGTTTATCAAGTCAGAAGTTACAGATTAGACAAGATAAAAAGAGCTTTTTTCTTCTTTCACAGCAAGTATTAGCTATAAGGCTTAGAATTTACTCATTTCAACTTCAATTTTTGATAACTTTCTTACAATAATACTAAAAAATTTATTTATTTATCAGACTTATCACTTTAATCGATAGCATCAATAGACTCGGATAATCGGTAATTTCATCTGGGTTCCATAGCATCTGTTAAAATTCGAACACATTACTAAATCTCATAAAAAATTTTGATGATAGCTGGTTCACTAAATTTATACGGTTTTTAATAGGATTCAACCAGAAACATGGTTAATAGTATAACAAATTATTTAACTTATTTTCACTCATGAAAGATTTAACTAACCTCGATATTGAATTCTGACTTCAGTTCGATGACCATAAACCATGTTTATATGTACAATTTTTTTCCATAATAATGAATGAATACACATTAAAGCGGAATCATAAATAATCGCAATACTGGAATAATGCGATGTTGGACAATTAAGACAAATACGTGCATCTCCAACTATATCATTATAATATATCAGATAAACTTTTTTTTTCATAAATTACCTTTTAATTGTAACATAGATAATACTTGAAACCTTTGAATTTCAAGTACATGTTCATTAAACAAAGGAACATCACGTGAACACTATTGTTTTGACGATGAACCGAAAGATGAGGTAGTACTGGGAGAAAAAATTATTTCGAATTCTATATTCGATCGATGAA